CCATGCCCTTAATATGTGCCCCAGTATATTTCTCCCACAGAAAGTCATTAAGCAGAGCGTAAGTTATTACCTAGCATACCGAATAAGCAGGTTATCTGGCTTGAAATCACCATGAATTATGCCAACATCATGCAATTTCTCAAGCAAATGTAGCATTTCTATGGCGTAGTAAATGCACAGCACTTCTTCCATGGATTTGCCCATGACCACATATGAATTTATGACATCCTGCGTAATATTTTCATCAGGAAACTATTACTAGTCAGGGATGAACCGGAAATAGGAGTTAAGAAAACAGCTGACCTGTAGTGTCCCATGAGCTAAATAGTCACAGATGAGTATGCTACAATCAGAATAGATATGAATTCTATGAGCAAAGCCATAGCTTGGTCTCTGATAAAATACGTGTCATCAATTCACAGTAAGTATTTGTTCAATGAAATGGCAGGTCGATGGCGTAATTGGAAATGACATACTTCACTCTCTAAGATACGTTGATCAAGCAGACGGTAGATGTAAAATTCCCATGGGAAAGGTGGCTTTTGGATCTGCCATTTAATGTTTAAGTTTCAGCCTGATGACACAATCGGTCCCCATTTGGGGAAAAATTAATTTCAATTGGGTAAATCAATCACCTTCAGCGCGACAACTTCATCGGGATTACTATTAACATATGCCTTGTATACTTGAGCGAAACCGCCTTGTCCGGCGCAACCCTTGATTTGATACTTCTTTCCACCTTTAAATGTCACAACAACGATATTCAAAAGCAACGGCATTCTCAATATAAGGAACTGAAACTTCTGGATATAGAAGAAACTGATAGAAATGATCACAAATTAATTTTGATCTCTCTCGGAAGAACCAAGTAACAAAAACAAGGAAATCTAATATTTTTACTCTGGGGAAATATTTGAAACACCAACTGACTATCTACGTTGGGAGGGGGATTAGAATCATCGCAACTAACAAATTTATGGGGCTAATTTACTCCGACAATCATAAGTTTTGCAAAAGGTTCCATATCCTTCATAAAAACAGGAATGCCACCCAGAAAATAAACAAGTAAGCCCATCAAAGTTGACTCTTCTGGTAGATCCTTTTTATGCAAAGAAAGCTGAAAAATACTCAGAATGATATTCAGATGGTACATATGATTTAGAAAATCACCTATCTCTACAATTTTATTCCTTGATGAATTCTTCAAAGAAGATAAGGCAACTTTTCCGGCATAAGCTTTGTTACTTGAATGATACCCCTGAAATGCATGGAGTATAAAATAGAAGTCTTAGTTCTTTCCCAGTGAAAACTAGTTCTGCCTGGTTTAATAATAAAGATACAAGTAAATAACCAACTTATAAAATGTCTCACATCAAATTTTGTAATCAAAGCATTTATCCTCTTCAATATATCATCCATGATTGAGGAGCTCCATGGATTAATTGCGCCATTTTCAAATTTCATGGATTCGTTATCATCAATCTGAAATAAGATAAGAGACCAGAATTTTTAAGATTGTCTATACAGTCACCCAAGTAAACTTCAGAACCGATCAGACGTAATGCTGATTAAGTATAAGACAGAGAAACTAAAGAACAATGGTATTAATTTTCATGACATATATAGCACAAATTGAAATCTATGAGGAACCCTGTAAAGTTGCAATCTGTTGGATTTTCTTTATGGTGTGTTTCCAGTTTGACTCTTTTTTTATTATTCTTATTTTCAGAAAGTAATTGTTCCAATATCCATACCTTCTGACGAGAAGCAACAGTCGCTATTTCAGAAATTCTATTGAGGAACAATTTATGCGCTGTCTTCAACCACTCAATTGGTTCTGCATTCCTAGCCAATAAAAACATAATTAAAACCTTGTGGCGCAGCTTGTGATAACAAATCAAGCTGGTACTACTGGCCATAGTTAGACCCATCACTGACCTGGAAATGCCGAGCTGATAGAGTGTGTGAGCGTCATGCAATCTCCCTTTGGATTCAAAAAAATATGCAGACCATACATAAAGTGAAGAATGATTGGCACATACATTACTATCCAGCATTTCTTTGAACACATTGCTAAAATCCTCACTAGCATCCATCTATTAAAAACGAAAATCAAGCTAAGATGTTCAATATTCTAAGTAACCAGTACGCAAACAGCTAAAGGAAAAACTGAAGAAGTAATTTGTGGTAGAAAATCATGAGGACATTGGCACATGCTAAAGAAAGTGAAGCTTCGTAGAGAAGCCAGGTTCAATCATGAAATATCTTGCAGTGTTAATTTGAATCTGAACGAAGACAAATAGAAACTAAACAAGCTTCAAGGGTTTGAATGGAATTGACCCAGTAATTATATAAACCAAAAATAAATAATAAATAAATAAAGGAAGGGTCACGAGATCCAAATTGGCAGTTTGGCCGGAGATGGAATCTTCAAGATCTTCCCTAATGGAACTAAATTCACGCAAATGATTAGAAGTTTGGGAGACCCAAGTACCGCATGATTGTGCCATTGTTACAGAGAAGAGGGAGTAATATATATATATATATATATATATATTGTGTGTGTAAACAAAACAAAAAAAGGAAATAGGGATAAATAAAAAGTAAAAACGAACGGGTAATAAATTACATATAGGAGCCAAATCTTAAGAAATCTGATGTCATTTCTGTACTGGACATTGTGCTTGAACTTTCTGATGCAATCTTGCAGAAGGGTTACAACATCCAAATTGGAAGTTCGGCCGCAGATGGAATCTTCAAGAGCTTCCCTGATGGACCTAAATTCACACAAATGATTAGAAGTTTGGGAGACCCAAATACCGCGTGATTGAGCCAATGTTACAGAGAAGAGGGAACACCAGAGGAAAGGTAAGAGAGGATCCTGAGCATCTTCGGTGACCCTGGAAATGAGGAAATTATCAACCATCGTCATCGTGCTTGCGGAACTGAAAATTGAAAATGTCCTCGTTTTTTGAAGCTGAGCATCCAAGAAAAAGCCGGGAAGTGCCGAAGTTTGAATGTGGCGGATTTTTTGAAACAAAACGCAACTGTTTTTTTGGTTCGGAAGCATAATATCCAAGACAGCGTTGGGCCTCCGAATTATGGCCAGGTTGTCCAGTGGGCTGAAACCATACGATGCTGAATTTGCAGTGACTTCGTATGGAATGGAAATTGAAAGTTACTAATTCAATAGTATCCTTACATACTAAATGAGAGTGACACGGATAATAGTGATTTGTGTTTCTTAAACATTATTCCCTCCATTTAAAAAAATAAAAAAATTAATATTTTAAAATGTAATTATTATTATTTTTAAAAGTGTCCCTATTGATAATGACTTTATATTTATTATTTAATAAAAATAAATATAAAAAGATAGGGTTAATTTGAAAGTAGGTTACTACTTTATTAAGGGGTGAGATTCAATTAAAAATGCCTTATATTTTTAAATGAAGAGAATACTTTAGAGTTTAATTTTAAAGGAAGATTAATTTTATGGTTATTGATTGTAGAGATATTTTAAAATCAAAAAATAATTGTATCCCAACATGTTTAAAAAATGTCGTTAGAAAAAAAATAGTAGTACATTATATTATCTTCTTCTTTGTAATTTCACATGCAATTGATTTGAGCAGATTGAAAGTAGGGTCCGTCATTGATGCGGAGCTTGGAAATCCTATTTTCACGACGAAAGTTTAAATTCCAAAAACAAGCTTTTCAAAAATAGACTGGGTCACTAAAGATGTTCATAAGTTCAGCTTAGTTTATATTTAAAAAAAAAACTGAACCAAATCAATCAATTCATTATAATATAAATTTATTCAATTCTTTCATCCAATCAATTTGGTTCAGTTTCAAGCCATTTAGTTCAGTTTAGTTTATATTTAAATCGAGCTTGAACTTTTTTATAAGAGATTTTTTTTATAATCATCAATATATATTCCTGTTTCTAATAATTTTTAACTACTAATTGCTATTTGTAATGGAAAAAAATATCTCTAACACAAAAAGGATTTTTTTTTACAATTAATTAACATATTTAATTATTAAAAATCAATAGTTGGTCAAAAAACATTTAAGATCAATATACTATCTTTAAAACACTTGATTTTAAAATTTAAAAACTATTATATGCAATTATAGATAATATTTAGGTAATTGTAACATATTTTTACTAATAATTTATAAATAATTAAACCTGGAAAAAGGAAAAAACTTGAGCAAATGTATTAAAATACATATAATCAATGTAATAAAGTTGGGCTGAAGTTTTTATAAATAAAAATATAAACCAAACTGAACTAATTAATCTTTTTAAAAAACCAAATCAATCCAAATCTTATATATAATCAATTTTTATCGTAGTTTAGTTTAGTTTAGAGTGAAGGTTTATATTGGCTAGGAATACCCTCACCCCTTGCGTAAGCGTAAATCCTTGTCCCCACCACTCTCAAGAGGACAGAGACAAATCCTCCCCTTACATTATAAACCCAGACGTACCAACACGCGTTTCACTCCCGCATTGGCCCTGAGAAAATATTCTAACACAAGACCAATCATGTTCTGCCACCTCACAGGTTTGTCGCTTCACCGCCTCATGGAAGAGCATAGGATCTTAAGATACCACCTGCACAACCTACCACACACGTATACTCACTCGTCCTGCCAACAATCTTCGGGGGCCCACCACTTCACGGGAATGCTCCTCCACAATTCCACCGCTTCTCTGTTTAATTTCTACAAGCGGCAGAATCCAAATATTTTGCAGCTCCCCAAAATTATTCAGCCATCATTTGGAAAACAGACGCATCAATGGAGGAAATTAACGTGACGATAGAAGCAGTTTATATTTCCGTGCCTAGGACTTGTCTAAATAATTTTAAAAAGCACATTTAAATTATATTTAAAATATATTTTATTAAATTCAATAAATAATTAGATCTTTAAAATGGACTCCCTCTCAAATGAAAACCAAATACAAACTAAAACTATTTTTTCCACCGTGCATGTAATTGATCCAGTGTTGGGAGATTATGCCAAAATGCAATTTAGTAATCTCCGATCTATCTCGAGGCACAACTCCGTGTTGTCGCGTGCGTATTTGCTTGCCTTTTTCACCGCCTCCACCGATGGACGTACGAGAAGAAGAAAATTAATGGAGCAGCTTGAGGACACTCCTATAACTTGTAGCTTTCTCGCTCACTTTTTCTCCCAATATAATTCTCCTTCCTCCTCAAACTCACTATACCTTGTTTCCTTTGGATCTCTCTCTCTCTCTCTCTACACGCTTCAGAGAGGCCTGAATGGATGAGATTAAAGCAGAGACGGTGGTGAAGAGGGAGGCCTTGGGGGATTACGATCACGAGGAGAAAAATGGATTCTTGTTGGGGGAAGAAGACCAGAGGAAGAAAGTGTCCGTGAAGAAAGGGTCTGCTGGCGGCGGCGGAGGGAGTGGTATGCGGTGTTGCCAGGCGGAGAACTGCTTGGCGGAGCTCAGTGGTGCGAAGCCGTATCACAAGAGGCACAAGGTGTGCGAGTATCATGCCAAGGCTCAGGAAGTAATCGTGTGCGGCATCCGACAACGTTTTTGTCAGCAATGCAGCAGGTTCGGGGAGTTTCGGCTTTTGGTTGGGTTTTCTTCCCATTTCTGTTCTCTGTTATTTATACATTCTTGTATCTTCTCTGGTTTTCTTACGGTTGCTCAATTCGGTTCATTTATGCTTAGGAACGATCTTCAAACTCAACGGTTCCTGTTTTCACTTATTCTTTTTTTTTTTTTTTGAGCAAACTGTTTTCACTTATTCTGTTGTCATGATTTGGAAGGAGAAAATATTCTTCAGAATATATCAGATCGATTGTTTTTTTTTTTTTCCACATTGTGTCAGAAACATAGTATTGGTTCTCTGTAGATTGAAGATGATATTATATAATACATATATATATATATATATCACATCACATGGGGTATGTGTAGCGTATGATATGATACTTTTGTGGGGTTTTTAATTGATGTGCAGATTCCATGAGTTGGGTGAGTTTGATGAGACGAAAAGGAGTTGCAGGAGGCGTTTGGCTGGGCACAACGAACGACGAAGGAAGAGCTCAGTGTGTGAGACTCAGGCAGAAGGGTCGAGCCAGAAAAGAACAGGGATGACTCAGCTGAAGGACATGGTTTGTGGTGACGATAGAGGCAGAATTCAGATCAGTATATAAAGAGAACGCCTTCTTTCAGACAATTCCCCAATAAGATGAGAACGTGATCGTTCCATTGATTGCTCGCTTTTCTCGTAAAGCATGCTCTCTCTCTTCTGTCATCCTGGGCATGTGTTCTTTAATTGCTCCTAATTTCTGTGCGTTTAGATCGAAGACTAGTGCACTGATTGCAATAACATATTCCTTCACTGGAGTTACTGTTGCCAGTCCAGCAGCAGACGTTATGATTATGTACTTCTAGTTCTACTCATTGTGTTCAATCAATACAATGCGCTTTACGTGAATTGCTTTTTCCTTCCTCCACCGTGCTTTATCCTGCACATCCACGAGAGAATCAATTTGACTGGTTTAGCCATTCTGCATAGTATAGTGGGCTCGAGGCTAAAGGACTAACGTCCACTCGACGATCATTCAGACTCTGTCCGGTCAATTCAGTTCACTCGAATTTTCACTCGCATGATGTACTACGTGAGAAGATGATCATCGGATCTGGCGACTTACTAGTTTGTTGACTTGATTTTCAGATTGTTGAATGCCCCTATGACTTTTTTTAATATGTAAATAAATATATAAACTCATGTTAATTTGCGAAGTTGCCGTGGGTAAAATGTGTCCTGCGCAGAAGGAGCCAACATACCTTTGTATGCTAATAAAACAAAAAATGATCAGGAAAATCCGAAAATGTCTTCTCTGTCCCGCTTGAATCCGAAAATTCATAGTGTAGTGTTATTTTAAAATTTTAGCCTTGTAATTGTTAAATTATTTATAATATTTTCATACAAGATGTAGCAAAAATCCAATAACTTACCTAGTTCCAATGCAACTTGTACAGGAATTAACGTTTATTATCCAATATATATATATAGATAAGTTCCCCACCTACACGGCTATATATACTAGTATCTAAACCGAAAGACTATTATGTCTTGAATAATTTTTTGAATAAAAATAGAGAGAATTATTTTAAGCTAAGGCCAGGTGCCTCCCAATATAATTGGACTTGCAAAGACAAAGCGATATCATGAGCCCACTTCACTTATATATGGTTTTCGCATACTTGCATATTAATCATTAAACTTTTCTCCGAAACCTGGTAAAACAGGAAATCCCGACACGCAAAAAATAACAAGAGAGAGAATTCAAAATTATGGTAAGGAAGGATAGAATTCTGTTCTCGGGACTGTATCCGCCACGTTATGATATGGACACTTAGAAGGGATTACTCTACAGTTTGACAAGCGGAAGCTATTGTCAATGTCAAGTATTCACGAGAAGCGCAGTCGAATTGACAGTTACAGAACGCTGCAGAGTTGGAGACTACGTTGAAATGTATAGACGGCATGAGTAACATGAGCAGGCTTTACCGTTGGAGCATCTGCAGATAAGGGAAAAGGCATGGTCTTGATCAAAAATGGCCCCCCATTTGAAGTCATCATGTCCTCTTATTGCCAGTCCATGTTTGTTAGTTGTTGTAACCATAGAATAGATAACTAGGTACTATGATTTATAAATGACGTAAATTTTTTAATTTAAAATTATATTTATATACTAATGGGTCTTTTTTCAAAGGAAAAAAAATCAGAACCATATAATTTCTTTCTCTATGCATGAGCATAGAGAATGCGTGTCCTCGGCCCCCATTAAACATGAGGTAAACTCTTTCATATGAAAAAAATTCACAGATCAAATCACATAAGTTATGATTTTCATGGGCATCTTCAAGAAGTCATGTATCAAATCACACAAGCATGCAAAACCTTTTGTCACAAGGCCGTTGCCCTCTCATCAAAAAACTAATTCAATGAAGTGTACAACGTATTTGCTTTTATGCTAAGGACTCTACTCAAATTTATCTGATGTAAAACATAATAATTATCCCAACCAATCCATGACACTCTTATCACGAGTGATCCATCAGAAGGATTCATCGACTAGACAAACTTGAATTCAACTCTAATATTACTTTGTTATGAGGCCATTATTATCTCCCCAAAAAACTTTTGGAGAGGTTGATTACAAGATAACAAAGAAAAAGAAGGATCTCTACAATAGATATCCTTGGCATATAAATCAAGTCAATGATGAGGGTGTCATTAGATTGGGTGAAGAAGAATGTCATAACTTGTGTCCAGAAAGAGAAAAACATGTAAGCCTAAAGTGTTTTTATATCCAAAACGATATATAGAATTTCAAGAGAGTTCAAAACATATGAATCTAATATGTTTCGAGATGTTTCAGAGGCATTTGAAAATTTCAAAATAGTCTAGAAATATCTAGAGAAATCTAGAAGGGCCTACAAGATTATAGAAACTCATGGAGAAACATTGATATGTCTAAAATATTATGGGATATTCTAAGATGTTTTCAAATATTTCACACATATTTTAAAAGTTATATTTTAAAAATATACTTATAAATGTCTAGAATATTGTATTAGATGTTATCATAGAATATTGTAAAAAAGTATTGTAAATTGTTATAGATTGAATTGATTTCCACCATCCATCAAGAACATAAAAAAGTTCTTGAATAATGGGGCAAGTTTGTAAAAACTCACACCCATTGTTTATAATCACCAAACAAAATTGTAAAATTCTTTCACTCAAGTTCTCTACAAGCTTAACATTCTAAACTTTTTCGTTTGCATTTTAAAGATTTAGCTGACTAAGTCAAAATTAAAAGATTGGTTAAATTTAGATCCACACGGTCAAGAGAAATTTTAAAGATGTGACACTTTATCCTAAAACAAAAACAAAAAAAAACAAAAAAGACAGCCTTTCTTATCCATTGTATCTTGCTTGCCAGGCCTTTTATATGCAACCAATGCATGTGCTACAAGCATTTATATGGTAGACATGGATAGAGTGGTCATCATAAAGTAGGCTAAAAACCGGCATTTGAGTTTTTGACAATTGTGTGGTTGTTCTCAACCAAAGCTTGTGCTTGTCCGTGACTATAGATGTTATTTAACGATGACTCTCTGAGAAACAAAAGTATCTGAATTAAATATAAAACTACGATGCTTTTTTTAACAGAAGAAGAATAAGAAAATTACATAGAAATTAATTGCTTAAAGTAAAAAATCTGGATCCATACCAAACAAACCTCTTGCATGACACTGTACATCAGCCAACAAATCCAGTACATCAATCAAAAGAAGTGTTCGTTCTTTTTCCGCATTAAAGTTGATCAATTCACAGTCAGGTGGTTGTTAATGACTGACTCAAGGCATCAACTAGCCCCGCCTCTTCCAGGTCACCCATGAACATGATTATGATCCATGCAACCACGTCCCTGCAATCATAATCCACTGTTTTTTTTTTCCAACCCCCTTTCATTAAAAATCACGAATGTTTAATTTCTGAATATTTGATTGATTCAAGAAATGCTATTAATATTAATTTTAGAAAAAATATTAAAAAATTGTATAATTGTAGTGGTTAAGTTGAGTACGTGGCAGCTTTAGAAAAAATAGATTTTTTTCTGAAACAAAGAGAGAATAGAAAAAATTTATTCGCTTTCGTGGAAAATATTTCCGTGGACCCAAACAGAACCGAAGAAGCAAGTGGGAAAGGAGAAGCTAATGCGATGTATGATGTGAAAGCAAAATGGGGGGGGGGGGGGGACTAAGTCTAGAAAAGTCATCCTTAAGAACGCGTTCTTTTTCAAATAACGCGGTCTTTAAAATGTTAAAGTAACGGGGAGGTCACGTGCTTCAAAGTCAAAGCTTCCTTATTTTACACCTGTCCTCTCTCCCTCCTGGATCTTCACTTTCGCTCTCTCTCTGCAGATTCTCATAATCTCTCTTGAAATTAAAACATGACTGGCAGAGAAATCCTCTACAAGATGAAGGTAAGTAGGAGAGCATCCAATCTTCTCACGCTTAATTGAAAGTGCCCAGCTGTTCTAATCCTTCTTTCTCTTCAGATGGTATAGTGGATTTGTTCACGGTTCCTTTCTGCAATTGCAATTTCTGGCCATATTCTGTAGTTATCTTCAACTTACCGATTTGTTTCCATATAAGTGATGCAACATGTTTAGTCGTTCGATTAGTTTGATTAACAGTATTTGAATTTTGAGCTTCATCTTGGCAATAATAATAATAATAAAAGTTAGAGCTTCATGTATTTCTGTTGTTCTTTTGGGTTTGTATTTAAATATTGATTCTCTCTCCTTGAGGAACACCACGATATAGTGTTGTCTGGTTCCATAAATTCGGGGCTTTTTTGTGCATTGCATCACATATGGTTAACCAGAATGTTGACACAGATGAGGAGTGTGCTTTTTAGTTTTTAGCATATTAACGACTTAATTGATGATTGGAGAAACAGTATATGGTCAAGATGGCCATAGGGACCTGCGCTTTGAAGAAATTGAGGTGTTGAACTTCCAGTGAGGCAATACCATTGAATATTTTTTTCAAATTCATATCCTTTCACAAAATGAAATGACTGTGAAATGACCGTGTACAATTTAATAATCCGGGTAGTTTGTCCTTTTAATGTTGAAAGTTGAATCCACGAGGCTTCATTTCAATTCCAGAGCCTGGCTTTCAAAGTAAGAAAAGCTGAGATTGATTTTAATCTTTCTTGTAGGCCAAAGCTGGATTTGGGACATCAACACCTGACACAGGAAAAGGAAAAGGCAAAATTTCAAAGCATATCACGCATGGCTTTCACTTAATGAAGGGAAAATCAGGCCATGCTATGGAAGACTATCTAGTTTCAGAATTTAAGCAAGAAAGGGACAAAGAGTTGGGACTGTTTGCTATATTTGATGGCCATCTGGGTCATGACGTCGCAAGCTATTTGCAGAACCACCTCTTCGACAACATATTGCAACAGGTAATGGTCAGACTATCTCAAATTTGGTAACTGTCGGATACGTTTGGATTGAGGAGAAAGGAGGAAAACTTTCATTTTAGAGCTAATTAAACCTTTTCCTCTTTCCTATTTTCCTTAATCCAAACAAAACCATAGTTTTGATGCTTTCCATGATAGAGTTTTCCTTTCTTTTAAACCTGCTTCGATTGTTCTTCTTTGATGCATTTTTCACTTTGCTGCAAGCAGCCTGACTTCTGGAATGACCCAGAAAGTGCAGTAAAGAGAGCTTATCTTACAACAGATGAGAAAATACTGGAACAAGCACTTGTCTTGGGACGAGGAGGATCAACTGCAGTAACTGCAATACTTGTTAATGGTCGGCAGCTTGTAGTAGCAAATGTTGGAGACTCTCGAGCTGTAATTTGCAAGAATGGAAAGGCAGAGCAACTATCAGTTGATCACGAGCCTAGCAAGGAAAAAAGGTTGATCGAGAGCCGTGGTGGTTTCGTGTCAAACATTCCAGGTAGCCAGCCCAGCTGTTTGAGATGTTCTTATGGTTTTCTCTCAATGCAAAACTCAATTTTCTCAAATTCAGAAAGCCGCGCGGTTGCATGAGTTAATCTTTTAGGTTTTTCAATAACAAGTACTTGACTTGCTGTAAATGTTGAGTCCTGTGTTCTGATCTGTTCTTGATTCTGGTTTTCAAGAGTAGTTCTGAATTCCTGTTTCTTGCAGGGGATGTCCCCCGTGTAGATGGGCAGCTGGCAGTAGCTAGGGCTTTTGGTGATAAGAGCTTGAAAATGCATCTTAGTTCGGAACCTGATGTGGTTATGAAGGAGATAGATGATGACACAGAGTTCCTTATTCTAGCAAGTGATGGAATATGGAAGGTCAACTTTCTAGCGATTTTCTTACTCTCCCATTCCATGCTTTATATTTATTGAAAATAAACAATGAAATGAGTTCGGGTAAAAAGCATACCAGATCTTGGCACAGAGATATCAACCCAAATGCGCCTCACAAGAGAAAGATAGAGGAAGAGAGGAATAGGGTGAATGTGAATGATTATTGAACTCTAGTGTGTCCTCTCTGTCCTTCACCTAGCTAGCTCTATTTATAGCATGGGTGAAGTTATATTGGGAGCCTTATCGTGATAAATCTAGTCTCTTGATGAGAGATGGGATATAAGAAGATAAATCTCAATATAATATAATATCTTATTTCATAATATATATTGGATTTATTCAAAATTAAATCTTTATTTAATCTTTGATTTGATTAAAACTAATTTAATCAGATATTGAATTAAATATTTATTTAATTTAATACAATATCCGGATTCCAATCAAGGGCGGGTATTATAATAATCTAACAATATTCTAATATACACTTAATGAAGAGGAGGATTAAAAGTTTTCAATTTTCGGTAAACATAAGATTTTTGTGCACGTTGACAGGTTGTGTCAAACCAAGAAGCAGTGGAGTCTATTGGACAAATAAAGGATCCTCAGGCTGCCGCGAAGCGCTTGATAGATGAGGCCGTGGCTAGGAAGAGTAAGGATGACATATCCTGCATTGTTGTGAGGTTCCAATGATATGCTCTTGAAAATGCCTGGCAGCATTTTCCCCAGTGGTGCACAAGAATCTGATGTGCGAACATCAGATGAGCTAAGGAGGCTGCAGCGCAATTGATTGTGTGTATAAATGTCGGATATGCTTCTACTTTTTTTCCTCAAGATTCTTTAATGTGTATGTCTAAATGAATAGTTCGGATGGTTGCAGCCACATTGCAGGATCTGCTTCATCTGTTTAGAATTTGTTATTTTATTGTATCGAGTGCCCCTGCTTTGTAAGATCATTGTGCTCGAATATGGCTAGCTTTTAAGTTGCCTGTCCTTCTGGTTCTACCTCCTTGCAAAGGCACGCTTCTTAGCTAGTGATTACAATTCGTTATCCACGTGTTTATTGATTCTAAGCTCACAGGGTGTGCCTGTAAGGAGGGCTTTGAGAAATCCAGTCTATTCGTTTGCTGAACCTTAAACAGAAGCAGACGATGGGGCTGACGAATTCGGTCCTTGACGACTCGCTTGATGATAGTTGTTTTCCTTTGTTTCTTTGCCTTTTGTTGCCATCTCTTTCATCGGATAGTCAGATCTTTTTTTGTAAAAGCAATCGATTTATTCACTCTAATTAAGTAACCAGCTGTAATAAGTAATTCTTATAATTCAAACTAATTAATGTAACTGCATCTATGAGAGAATTTATCCCTCAAAAGCAGAAACAAGAGACACCAAGTATTGTTAGAGTATGTAAGTGGGCCTAAGATAAGCCTGGCCCATAATTCTACTTAACAGAAACAATCTATATCTGGGATGCCAAATGAACAGTACATGAATAGTAAATTATCGAAAATGCTCCTAATTTTTTTCTTGGAATTTTATATTACCTTTACCAATTTTGGACTTTCAAGTCTACAGTACATGAACAATTTTCAATCGATCAATTCTATATCAAAAAGTTGGTGAGCCAGTCACGGTACATGGACAGTACACTGACAAAAGTGCCCTCCAGTTGATGCAGATACTCTGCTGCTTCCTTGGTTTCTTTTAGCGTAGCTTTTACAGAAAACTGGCTGCGGTGGACTTGCTATGGTACCCCTCACCGATTCCATTTCACTTATTCATTCTCGCTTTCCCACCTTCTACCATCAATTCTATCCTCACATACTCTCCCTCGATTGTCCTCCTCAAGTCTCGTGGGAGGGATTCCCACTTTTATCGGAAGACAAGAAGATTTAAGCATAGGCCTGGCAGTGCTTTCTTGGGTGCCAAGTTGGGTTCCCACCTCTCAGTTTGAAGTTCTTGATTTCCGACTTTTACCCATTTCACTCTTTCATTCCCCCTCCCGCCTTTTGTCATTAGACTATAACATTCTATAGCTCCCCACCATCCGTCTCCTCCCTCCACCTCACTCTCTCGAAGTTCGAATTCTTCGTCCTCCATAGCCGCTCCACAACAAGGTCTTTCGTTTTTTCTTCCTCATCATCCTGTGCGTCAAAATTTGACTTTTTTTGTAGGTTTTATCCATGCTTAGTTGTATATCTTGGCTTAGATGTTACAGTATATGTTTTTCCTTTTCTGGTTGTGCCATGAGTAAATTAGGACTTCCTAAACTTTCTCTTCTTCACAAACTTGAAAATTAAATTAAATTAAATTATAATAAAAAATTGAACTTGTATTTGCATTTTTCTAGAAAAAAAATTCCCTTCATTGAAGCTTCCTATAGTAGCTGATTTTCAGTTAATGATGATGTAGCTAAATTCAACTTCAATGAATATGTCAGTAGGCTTGATTGATAACATCCCCAGCCAATTAAGCAGTCCATCATGGACCTCATTCAATAATCTAATAAGCACGATTTTAAAACAATGGCACATGTCCATGTGACAAAAACTTTTCAAGTTTTTATATCCAGTGCCACTTATTTATTCATCACCTTATAAAAACATGTAAATATTGTTTTTAATTTTACAGACACTAAATTTCTTTATTAATTTTTTCGTCCACAATTTTTATTGATTTTGGCCAATGATATTGCTTGTAATAAGTTTCAATTTTATCTATAGGGAAAATGCTTGACAAAGCATCGGAATCAACTTTGCTGTGTCTATTCAATATTGGATTGGTTATGGGAAAGTATTATTGCCATAATATTAATTATTTTCAATTCATCTTTGGGCAAAGAACCTTGCCTACAGTAACATCAATTCAGCTATTGGAATGATAAAGGTATCTTCTTATATATTTTGTAAATAAAATTAGGATGTGTGCACGCGCATGCTTTTAGTTGATTGTTTGTCTTTTAAACTTCCATTAAATTTCCTTATCATTGGTACTTAATTTTGGTTGAGTGACATACTGTGTCTACATTGTAAGATGCTATTTATATTATTTTCTATGCATGATTCTCTTGCATTTAGGAGGATCTTATTTTCTGGAGGTTTGAAAGAAGTTTGAAAATTAACTAAAAGAAACACATGTTTTGGTGTCTTTGTGTGTTGTCTATTTAAAATATGTTATTCATCTATGTTTTTATTGACGCAAGAAAATGAGTAATTAAGTCCTTTTGACAATACAATGACAGAAGCATGGTCAATTGGGTCTTGTCTTAATTTTCTTTTGAACTAATTACGAAAAATGCACATAAAAACAAACAATAACATGCCATGCATTTTAAATGTAATTGATGTCACACTCTAAAATATAAGAGTAAGCAGCATAAGATATACACCTAAACATACATCATTTAAGCCTAACTTAAAAATGTTTCATTAAAAAAAATACTTTTCATTTAAATGAAGCCTTAATATTTTAGTAAAAATTTCAATAGTACAATACAATTTTTTTAAGAAGTATTATAAAATCTAGGAACTCAACTCCTTCGAGCTAGTAGATAAAATATTGACAAAATAAAGATCCTAATCATAGTCTATATGGAGTACCTCTAACATTATTTATAAAAGTATAATATATAGATTAAAATTTTACATAAAAAATAGAGATTAACCAAAATGGTGTCACAACATCAATTCAGTAGCAAAATTCCTTGAATGATCTGACGGAGGTACAAGCTATTTGAAATTAAAATATTTTTCAATAAATAATATCCTAATCATAATATTTTGCAAATTTGAAATGAATAAACTTTAACATATACATAAATTAAAGATAAACAATTCAATATAAACAAATTTATAAGCTCAGAATAAAAATTTTATATAACTTTAATAACCTAAAAATTTAGATCTACAATGATAAAGCAGTTTTACATTTAACTTTAGCTAGTTAAAATGATTGAATAAATACATAAATAAATAAAAATAATAACACTTGCTAATTAAAAATCATTAGAGTGTGCAATCATTAATTAATTTAAAATTTATATTTTTAGAGATTTGTCAAAACAATTCACAAATGTGGACATACAGTCCATATTAGTAAATAACTAAATGCAGCTTATACTATGAAGACAAATATGGATACACAGTCTACATGAATAATACTAATTAAACACGGCTCAAAGCCACAAAAATAAACACAAGTATGAGACTTACAAATAACAAATGTGATAACAGAGCTTGTGAAAATTAAATTAGCTATTCATTGACCTTGACATGTCAAGGGCTAACAGAACTGCCATTAATAACTAGTGTCTTATATAAAATTCCCTTTAAATTTATTTGCAAACATGATAGAAAATTATCACTATAAAAATACAGTTCTCGTTTTTAAAGTCAAACTCACATGCATAGCTTTAAGTATTAAAAACTTGCTAAAATAAAATCTCGCAACTAATGTCCATATTTGATATTTATTGATTAACTCAAAAATAATTAGAGTTGATAAAAATAATCTCATCATTTTTTTTAAAGTATCCTTCATAAGGAAAAACATATATACATGCCATAATTCAAATATCCTTCAATATCTCTTATAATTTCCCAAGATAAAATAATTTAATTAATAAAATATTAAATACGTAATATAATTGTTATTGAATCATCTATATAAAAAAAATCTTGAAAATAAAATTTTATTGATAAATTAATTGGCATGTTATTCATTTGCCTAAGATATTCTCAAGTACACAAATTACTCTTAATTAATTGCTTTTGTAATATTATCCACTTTTTAATTCCCTAATGCCCAAGTGATATTATTGTTATTTTTTTTTATACATTTTGCAAACCCAATTCTTTAAGGTAATTTAGAAGAATAGAAAAGAACATCTCCAATATGTTATCATTTACAATAAAATTATGTGTTGAGTTTAATCAATAAACCTCTAGAATACTTGTATAAACAATAATCAAAGTTTTAAGTCTTCTTATAGAAAGCAGACAACTTTTACTATGACTTATTCCACTTGCCTTAACCTCCTCTTTTCCAACCTTCCATCAAACACTTTATATATATATATATATATATCTCAAGATTACTATAAGAACAAACAAACATGATCCTTAAATTTTCAATCACATATCTTTTTCAAAATTCTATAAATTCAAATATACTTCCTTTGTAAAGAATAAGTGCCTCCCATAACTATAACTAACAACCATACAAACATCACACGTATTTTGTCACCATAATCAAGATTTCTCCTAATAAATATTTTTTTGAACACCTTACATGCATTAATCTATGACTAAAATTCTAAGTTCTTTCTCTTCAAATCTCCTTATAATATATAATAGGATTTTGTAAGACATCCTACAATTTCAATAAACTTACTTCTAACACTAACACAACAAATATATATCTATAATAAATTTGAAATTACCTAAACTTTATTACTCTATTAATCCAAAATACTTCTATAACCCATTTTATCGAATATCTAAAGTGCACACCAAAAATGAGTCATAAAACAACATTATAGTTTATAACCATGAGCAATTCAACTCTCAAGAACTCAATTAGTTATACATTAGTTCCATAACCAACAATTTCTTGTAACACTCAAGTCAACACATGAATAAACATTATCCAAACCATTTATGCTTCTCACGAGAATTAATGAAATCTCACAAATCACATAAATCAACAAAACTCCCCTTATCAAACATTTTATCAAACACTTTATAGACATTAACTTTCAAATTATTACCAAACTTCTTTCCTTCCAATTCCATTTCCCAAAATTCTCCAATATAAACCTTGGAATGACTATGCTTCTCAAAATAGTAATTAAATCCTTTTTTTTAACAAACCTAAATCTTTCACGGTATAAACACATACTTACATGTTACAAAATTTCAATTTAGTTAACTTGAATATTTCCAAATTATCTCCTACCCGCATAATAATCTCAACTGAGGATGAAATTAAAATCCCAAAGTAGCCATCACTCCAATCAACTTTTACGCAGTAACTAGCAAGGGAAAGAAAGTGGAATCTCAACTCACCAAGATAACTAAGGAATGAAAGGCATAACTTGTAGCTTCCTCGCGCCAAATCGACGATTGCAAGACAAGAAAAGAAGGGACTATGGCATGCAAAAATGAAGAACGAAGGAGAATTTAAAGAATAAGGGGCTATGTTTATCATTATAAATGCTGCAACAATAGCGACTCTGACCAAGAGGCTCCGGCAACGGACATAGCAGCCATAGGTGGCGTTACACAGTAGTTAGGGGGAGCAAATGCATCCCTTGGACCTAGGAAAAATTACAAGAAAGGTTTATGTGTTTCAATATTTTGCACCCCTTAATCAAAATGTTTTGCACCCCTTAGTCCAACTTTATAGATGTTTGAATTCCAAAAAATTTTATACTCTCTTAAAGTTAGAAATGATATTATCAGTTGCCATAATAATGATAAAAAAATCCTTTTCTATTATGAAATTTGTAAAAAAAGCAATTGCAGAATGTAAGAAAAATTCATTGATGAATAATTGTCTAATAACTTATATTAAAAAAATATTGTCCTTAATATCAATTTTAAGATGACTGCTTAACGATTCCATTTCATGAAACCACGCAAGGTACAATATATTTTTTAAAATTATTAAATTATTTTTAAATTATTAATTTTTAAAATATTGCACCCCATAACTCAGGGTCTTGGCACCGCCACTGACAGTAGCGATGCAATACATGAAAAAGTCTGGTCAAATTGCTACTCCAAGAAAAAGGGAGGGCCTAGCAACGAAACAAGGGAAGGAGGAGAAGACTTAGCTGTTACACAATAGAGGAAAGGCAAGGGACCAATGGCAAAGGCGGGTAGGAGCGATCACGGTGCTTACGCACACCCACATTGGTGATGAGCTACAAACTAGGAGGACAACATAGGACAGAGGTTCGAAGCTTTTGGACACCCAAGGCTCTCTTGCTCTCTCAATAAACACTTAAAGCACTGTCTAAGCTAGAAGGATTTAAACATTAAACCTCTAGATGTTCTATTCCAAGAAATATTTGAGAACATTAAAAATAGATTATAGTTTTTTTTTGTGTTATACCTTACACTAATTTTTTTAAAACTCTTGCTTTTGGTTTGTACTTTTCTACCAAACTTAATTACAATTATGTCATTCACATTTATTATTTGTTTAATGGGTCAATCCAAGTAAAGACCACACACAGCAAAAAAGCAAAAAGAAAAAAAAACTAAATGACATATTAATATTATTGATTTTAAATACATAGTTAGGACAACAACAATGCTTAAAATACTTTATAGTATAGTTTATTTTACAAAAAAAGTAATTTTGAAGGCACATGTAAACTAATCATATTAAATAATATCTTGCCCGTGCATTGTATGGGGCATGGCACTTATTGAGAGTTAAATCAAGCATGTTAATTAATATAAATGCACGGGGCATGGCACTTATTGAAAGAAATCAAGCATGTTAATTAATATATATCCTCTCTGATTTTATTTAGGTAAAAAGAGAATTTTTTTATTTTATTTATAAGTTATACTCCTTTCGTTAAAAAATATATGGCATTTTTTGAGGAGTTGGATATTAAAAAATATAAGACATTTTTAATCTTTTGAGGTGTAATTATTGACTTTTTTTTTTCAAAAGTGCCTTTATTAATAATGATTTTGTATTTATTGTAGGGTGTTTAATAGAGATAAATATAAAAATATAAAGTTAGTTTAAAAGCAAGTAACTACTTTATTGAGGAGTGAGATTCAGTTAAAAATATCTTATATTTTTGAATATCATTAAATTTTTATCACAAGTTTTCACTTTGATTATGTTAGATATTATTGAGAGAAAATACATTATTAAAATATGTATATTTAATAGGGTAAAATTAAAAACTTATTAAATTTTTAACCTAATCCTTGATTTAAATGAAACATGTTAAAAATGACTTAAAAATTTAAATCTTGCTGCCAATGTGAGTTTTTTGTTGGAAATCAATTTGTGGATATCTTTGTAAATATTTTTTTAAATTTGAAGGCATGTCCTAACTCTGATGAGCTCCAATACCTTACTTCCTTAAACTTTTGGTACATAAAAAAGGAAGAAGCTACTTATAAATAGTATCAGATAATAAATTATGTTGTACTCAACAAAAAGGAAAGTATTATCTCAGTAAGATTAATCATTCATATAACCCTCATTCTCCCCCTTTTTTTTTGGGTACTGGGATATCTTGCATGGTATTATGTGTTTCATTTGTAAAATTTGATATAATGCATGGGATTTATTTTGGTCACGTTATTATAGAATATAAAATGATAAAATAAAATGGTAAATTGACTTGAACTGAAATCAGTGAATCACATAAACCGTTATAGCATGGACGACGGAGTCGTGGGAGTGAGCAACGAGTCAATCAGAAATGGAAAAGTGTCGTGGTTATTGAATGATATTGTTTTTGTTGGGAGAGAAAGTGCTGGAAAGTTAAGACTCACAATGGCGTGGTCCTCAAAAGTTCGTTCCAGGTGATTTTGACTTGGGAGTACGTTTCCAGGATAACTGCCAAACTTCATTGAATGCGAACCAATTCGTTTAATGAATATTATGGGCTTCACGTCATCTGGGTTCGCTGAAATTAATGGGCTCGGTCCAAACTCTAAGGCTGCCTTACTCTTCCCGATGCTTCTTAACAGCCTAATTCCGACCATGTGGCTGTGTCTTGCCAGCTAAATCTCTGATTGGCCTAAATGAAACTGCATTTCTTGGCCCAAAAAGTGAGAAATCCACGTGGCAACATATCCATGAGACCATTATCATTACGGAGAACCCGATCACTCACCGTGTCATACATATCAACCCTAAATAAATGTTTCTTTTATCTTTTCCTTTTAATGTGAGCTTCTAGATCGAACCAGTGGATTTGAGCAATGAATATACGGCTCCCCCCCCCCCCTTTTCTTTTTTGACCTGAAATACACAGCTCCCTTTAAAAACATTGCAATTTAATCTTTGGAATCATAAATATAAGTTCCTTTGACTATCATGGAGTGCCCATCTCCCTTCACGCCATTTCTCTTGCGTTTTTAGAATTAAAGTGAATCACGAGTTTTTGTTAGTTATTTTAATATCATGTTATATTTTATTCCAATTTCATGTCATCATTTATTAAAAAAAAAAAACTAAAACTCTGTTCAAGTAATATGAATATTTTGAAAGTTCGTTAATGTTAATAAATGTCTCTAAATACTCCTGAGCAAAGTTATTAAACTCATGCATTTGAATAAATTTGTGAGAAGGATGTAAATTCAAAGCTTAACTTAAATTATGAACTCATAAGAATTTATCTTTAACATATAAAATATAATCATAATTTAATTTAAATATAAATTATTAAAATTAAATTTATTTACATTCATATATTATTATACTCAACATAGAACTTTTAAAATAGGCAACCTTATTTTTCATATTTTTATTTCCTTTTTTATCAATATTAATTTTTTTAGTTTTATTTTTCATTAAACCTGATCTTACTGCTTTTACGAATTAAGTTTTACACAATATATATCTATTTTACTCAACAAGTTTATAAGTAGATTGGCGTGATTTTATAAGCCAAAAAGTAAAATTAATAACTTGAAGAGTCCAACTCTCAAGTTTAATTGAGTTTTATATGATTTGAAGTTTATAAGCGAGTTAATATAATTTTATAAGTTAAAAACTTAAAAATAATAAACTCTTAAAATTAGTTTGGGAGTTTAATAACAATGCCCTTAAAAAAATATAGCCGTCTAAAATCCAAGCTAAAGTCAGTGATTATTTATAATAAAGTTAAGCAGATGCTCTGAAACGAAACAGAGTAAATACATTTAGTTCACTGTCATAATTGAGCAATTATTATTAATATTAAGATAATAAAAGAAGATAAGGAAGCAGTTAAAGTGAACTCGGATATGAATCTTGAAAACGCAGCTGCATAATCTTTTGTTTTGTTTTTTAAATGAAAGAGCTGTTCAAGCTAGTCTGAATTTCATTAAATCCTTTTCAAGGATAATCATAAAATTTTAAAAGAGACAATTCATAATAGTTAGTTCTTTGATATTTTTTAAAAAAATAAATTATAAATATTAATTTTAGAAAATTGTGAACAAGAATTTTTATTAAAAATCAAGAGTTGCATTTATAATTAAATATTTTATTTATAATTAAATTTTTAATTATTTGAATTGATATTTGTAATAAGTTAGTGAAAATTATATTGATTATTGAATCAATTAACATATTAGTTTAAAGATTAAAACTATAGTTAAATTAATATCAAACCTGTCGTTAATAAAATATTTTATTAAACCGGGCAACATATTAATATGACATTTTACTTTCGAACTTTCAATATGTAAATTATTTTCCAGTAATAAAAAGAATAAAGAAAAAGGAGGGGGGATATGGGAAAGGTGGGGAGGGAGAGAAGTGATCTGGAATATTCAGGGGAGAGGAGAGAGAGATTAAAAGGGGAGGGGAGATGAGACGGCAACACATAAGCGATACTTCAATTGGAGCACTGCCACATACCCTCTTCTGCATGCTCATCTCTAATCTGATGCAGCCACGCTTCTGCTTCTTCCTCTCTCTCCCCTTCCCCTCCTGATCTCTCCTTCCTCTTATATATCCCTCCCCCTCCTCTCCCTCCATTTCCGTCCTCTCCATTTCGATCTATCTCCCCTTCATCATGAGCAGCGTCTGTGCTGACCAGCACAAGTTCCATCCCTTCTCCCCTAAGAAGTCCCTCCTCGACATCCCTCCCCGCAAGCTCCTCACTCGCCGTTCCGCCGCCGCCGCCGCCGCCATCCACGACCCCGACATGTTCCCCGACTCCCCCTGCTTTTCCTCTTCCGACGAGGCTTTCCTTCGCAAGTTTCTCCCCCGCAACAACCTCAACGCCGACTCCGACTCCGACGACTCTGATCTCTATTCCTCTGATCACTTCCGCATGTACGAGTTCAAGGTACGCCGATGCACCCGCAGCCGCAGCCATGACTGGACCGACTGCCCCTTCGCTCACCCCGGTGAGAAAGCTCGCCGCCGAGACCCCCGCCGGTATCACTACTCCGGTACTGTCTGCCCCGAGTATCGCCGCGGGGGGTGCAGCCGCGGTGATGGCTGCGAGTTCGCGCACGGCGTCTTCGAGTGTTGGCTTCACCCTGCAAGGTACCGAACTGAGGCTTGTAAAGATGGCAAGAATTGCAAGCGAAAGGTGTGCTTCTTCGCTCACACTCCTCGCCAGCTGAGAATTTTGCCTGTTAATTCTCACTCCCATAGTTCTTCGTCGGCCGACCATCACGCTTCGTGCAAGAATCATAACAAATTCATGAACCCCGCCTCGGGATCCAAGAATTGCTGCTTGTTTTGCCATCACTGCTCTGCTGGTTCCACTTCCTCTCCGACGTCCACGTTGTTTGGGATGTCTCACATGTCGCCGCCACTTTCACCGTCGTCGTCCCCTGTTTCACCTCCTCTTTCTCCGGTGAAACTCAGGTCAACCGCGAACGGACTGTCGCCAATCTCTCGATACTGTGACAGACTCCCAGGATGCGAGACGTCTAGTAGGTTGGTGAATAATCAGGGGGTGGTGAGCTACAAAGAAGCTCTCACAGAATTAATGAGCTCCTTGGAGGGTCTGAATTTCATGGAAGCTAATGCTTCGCCTGTTTCTGCCACGAAATCCCAAAACCTGCCTTGGCTCGACATGTCTTCAATTAACTGTGAAGACCAGCAGCAGCAGTTCATTCTTTCACCCGCCACTTCTTTTAGCTGCGAAGATCAGCAGCAACAGTTCATTCTTTCGCCATCCGCTCACACCCCAACAACAACCTCTGTTTCTTCAAGCTTCTCCAATGGGAAGTTATATGCGAACAGCACGTTCCTCAGCAGTGAGAACAGGGTTGTTTCAAACGATAACGGGTCCGTTTGCTCAGCCCCGGATCTCGGATGGGTCAACGATCTGCTGATGTAGAAGACGACGAAACTGGTGATGATGACGATGGAAAGTGTAAATACAATCGAGCGACATTAAATGTCTGGCGCATTGTTATTGTTATTGTTTTTAAGTTCATTTCTTTGTCTGAATTCGCAGCTAAGTTTGTGACTATATTATATATATATATATATATTCCTGTGATTTAATTTACGCATTTAGATTTGAATGTCTTGTGCAGAGGGGAAGCTGATTCATGGAGTAAAAATGAGCCATGATTTTGTTTTCTTCCATCTCCTTGCTTTGCTAGTGGTATTACGTGTCAAGCCCAACCTTAATAAAAGCCTATATTTATGGTTTGCGTAGTCGTGCTCCATCCATGAGATATATATTTTGTCATTCTGTTAGTAGCTGCTGGTAAGGTGAATCTTTTACACATGGCAGGCATGCAATGTTCGTCGTGGTTTCATTCTGGAATCTTGTTGGCTATAAAAATGGAAAGTTGTGCCCGTGTATATTGTAATAATGCTTATTAATAAGTCAAGAAAATGACGAGAGGCCGACGCCTAAGTAACTGTACAAAAATATTTAACTAATCTAATTCAATTAGATTCAATGACTATACGATGACTGTATTTAATACAACACTAAGTATATGTAGCAGTAGCATTTAAACCGTTAAAATTATTAAGTATATGTAGCATTTAAACTGTTAAAATTTAGATTAACTGTTTCAGGATCATTGATTTGAATTGCAACGGTTTAAATATTTTATGTATTTAATGTCTGTATTAAATACAGAATCCAAATTCTCTAATTACTGTACCAAGAGGCATTTTTAGCCTTTGCAATAAAGGTGCAAATGAATAAAAGGCCTTTCACTTTTGCTTTACAGTAGTGTAAGAATTTGATTGTTTATGGAGACAGGATATTATTGTGAAGTTCTTACTTCTATAATTATAGATATGAATGAATTATAGATGAAGAGAGTGAAAGAGAACTTAACTGTCTAGCATGTTTTGATTTATAAGCGTGATATTGTTTTCCTTGGCCAGACAGAAAGACACAGTTTCAGAGTAAGTTTATTTGTGTGCGATTCGAGAATAATTTTCTTAAATATATACTGATATACCGATGACATTCATGCAGTGAACAAGTGCTAATAGTCTGAGTGAGGGAGGCGTTTCATTGTTTGCATTCCGATTCTGCCCCCAGAAAGAAAAGACTCTGGGAATGAAGCAAGGAATTATTAATACCCAAAACTGTCACATTACCAAACGGAATTATGACTCAAGTTGCGAGACCACCTCAATTAATTGGGTGTTGAACTAAACGTACGAGTTAGTTATGCATGATGATGTTTAGTTAGCCATGTAGTACACTTAATTACACATTTGCCCATCAGTGAAGAAGACAAGGAGAAACCATTAATTCCTTTTTTGTTTGTTTGCCATCCAAAAAAAATAATATTAGATTAAATTTATAAAATTTTATATCATTATCACTAGTCATCAACAGTCCAGCCCTATTTTAAACTTCATGCAAAACAGGATTACTTTTTTTTATTTACTTATTTAAAATGTGGTATTCCTATTGATTTGTTATTGCAGGACATTTTGTACGATTCATTATTAGCTTATAACATGGAGATGGTCGTGCGGGGACCTTCGAAGTACGAGACATTATTGTTTACTTAACTTAGTTGCATAGTATCCCTTAATTAAAGGTTGATTTATATATCTAAGTCGGGTTCATATCCAGTATTGTTTGTTAATTTATATATGGTCTTTATATATATATATATATATATACACACACAGTTGCATATGCCGTTAAAAATAATGAATTAAGGAATTGTATGTTTTAAATTTTCCAAGTGTTTTAAGGCATCATTTTAACCAAAAACTTCATGTTTATCCTAAACGAACACGTATACATGTGACACTCACTAAATTCAATTTTATGTTCATTGATTTGATTATTTGACTAGGATTCATGCACCTTATGATTCTATCTCTTTTCTTTATATTATTTTTTTCAAATCCAATTAGGATAACAATCAGGCCAATTATATGTAACTGCAAGCATCTGTACCTGTCTGTGAGCCAGTGAGGGTTCACAAAGCTCTTGATGTATTTAAATATTTTCTTTAAGTTAAGCGGCCATGATTTTTTTTTAATTATTCACAAGCATGCTTCTATTGGAGGCAATTTGTTTTTAAGTATATTGGCACATCTTTTAGTAGGGTTTTGAACTTCATCATATTGTAAAGAATTAACTTCTTTCATTAAACCCAACCTAGCTCATTAGTAGTATTCATGATTTTAATAAAGACTGTAGTATTCATGATTTTAATAAAGACTTGCTGCATCTAATATTTTTCTGACAATAAAAATGTCTCGATTCGAGCCTACTTCTATGTGTTGGACGACATTCTTAGTTTTCACACTTGGACTTAATTTGCTCACCGTAAAACGTGAAAGTGTTTTCTGCATTATTTTTTTTTAAAATATTACCGTATTCGGACCTATTTATTTTTTCAAAACAATTTACAAAACCAAAGTAGTCAAGCGGTGGCTAGCTTACACATTCGCCCCTCTCCAAAATGAAGCACTACAATTACGATTGTGTTGAGCAAAATATCTCACAATCTTAAAGGTTTTGGACAAAATTCTTTTTAATTAAACTAACTTTTATTTGTAGTATTATTTATATTCTAATATTTTCTAGAAACTGAATACTCTTGTCGAAAAAAATAATGTTTATGAACTGTAATTCTTTCAATTAATATATTATCATTTATAATTAATAGTTTCGGTCAGGCCATATATAAATTTCAAAATAAGGACTACAAGAAAATAATTTAAAATCACATGAAAATTATAATTCAATACTTTGATAAAAAAAATTAACCTCTTGTAATATCGAAAATAATTTAAAATTATCTTTCTTTACTTATTTAGGATGAAAATTAAAAAATAACATTTTGTTCTCTCTTTGATTTCTACTCCATATATATAAAGAATAATACTCCCTTCATTTAAAAATGTAAGGTATTTTTAAATGAATCTCACCATTCAATAAAGTAGTTACTTACCTTTAAACTAATTTTATTTTTTTTATATTTACCCTTATTAAATATCCTATAATAAATATAAAGTTATTTATCAATAGGGGCACTTTTGAAAAAAAGCAATGATTACATTTCAAAATATTAAAAATATTTTACATTTTTTAATATTTAATTCTTTAAAAAATGTATTATATTTTTTAATGGAGGGAGTATCATTATATCATATGTAGGGTCCTAACTTCTAACATACCTTACTCTAATATTTTTTGAAATGCCTTGCGCCTTTCTATTTTTTTAATTATTGGTTTTTATATAAAATAAAAAACTTTATAATATTTTTAAGTTTTGAAATGATAGAGTTCTGTATTTTTTACAATTTTTTATAGAAAAATATCAACAAAATATTTTATCGAGGATCCAATAATCTAATAAAAAATTGAAAAGACTGAATATTATAAAAGACATTAGAAGGTAGATTAAAGGCACCAAAACTATATACATGTATGTGCATCCATGAGACGATTTGGAGGACTGACAGCGTCGGAGCTCTGAGGTCAGTGAAAAGAAATCATTCGTTCAAAATTCTGTTCAGTGCTACTAAACCTGCTGCTTGAAAAGTATTTTTGTCCCCCTTTTTAATCTCTTTTTCATACATTCATTGCTACGTGCAAAACTTGAGGTAAAAGTAAAACATCTAATTAATTAATTCGAGTAAAAAAGTAAACGTAACTCAAAACCCTTGGACTAGACATTCACATTTACAAAAGCGCTCACAGTCCTCGTCTATAGTGTAATAAAAAGCAAAAGTATCTCAAGAGGATCAATCTAGACGCAACGAATTTAAGGGAGTCAAAGAGCATTTCGACATCAGAATACCTTATCAAGTATAAATCCAAAATAGGCAGAAGCGTAGTAAAATACAGATACGAGTCGCTTTTGATTGCAGAGTAAGGAAGAAAATTGAATCCTACACAGCCAAGTAGCTGAGCTGGGCTCTTTATGACACTGAAAGCATAATACTTGTTTCCTAGGAGGCAAGCTTCATTATATCCAAGACAGGCAGGGCGGTGGGGGCAATATAACCCATAAGGGTGTGTTTGGAATAACTCTTTTGGTGGGGTTTGGTGATGAGGCAATTAGGGTTAGGTAGTGATTGCCAAAAACTTTCGCAGAAATGGCGTGGGATAGGGGAGCAACCCATGCTAAAATGACCCTCCATCATAGATAGCGTTTCGTGAGGTCCCCTAGCTATCTGCCTCGCCTTTGATATAATATTAATAACCCCTTTGATTTTCGTTTCATGGCACGGAGAATTTAACCAAGCTAAGAACCTTTATTTGTGGGACAAGAGGCCCATACTGTGTTTTGCTTCTTGTGACTTTCTTCGCCTCTGCAAAAGATTGCCGACACGTCTGGATGGGTGCGTTTTAAGCTAATCATCTCTCTTTCTGCAGTGTCTGTGTGCAGAATAATTCTGATGGACTCTCTATTTTTAATTGAATCCTGACAGTGGTTGGTGAGAGAGAAAAAAAATAGAAGAAAACGACTTCTGTTAAATAGGTTATTAGAATATAATGTGGTCTTCTTGCACATCAGATTCATTCATCCCCTGACTACATCACCCATGCTCGAGAGACTTCTTAGCTGAGAAGAAGAAAATACACAAAAATGTTGCGCTATTGTAGTACAAGCGCAATGAACGCAGAGTTTGAAGGAGCCAGCAAGCAAAACGAGAGGGAAACGGTTAAGATTTATCTTGTAACACATTCAGAAGTGTATTGAGGAAGAGAATCTATGTGACACACATATATGAATCTTTTGCATATAATTAATAAGCTAAGTAATTAATTACGTCGGGTAAGGAATTAATACTCGGTCCCCCCCCCCCCCACCAAAAAAAAAAAGGGAAATAGATGCTTGTAGTTGTATTGTAAGGCTCTAGACATGTGATCTTGCTGCAAATCTCCTTGTTCGATCGGCAGACGCAAGATTGATCAGTAGGAAGAGAAGAGGAAGAAAAGAAACTGAAGCTCTGAAAAGGATCAGCTGGCAATGTGAAGCTAATCTGGCATTACATGGCCACGGAAGAACGAGAAAAAGAGGTTACAGGCAAATAAAACACTACTACAAAAATACTCTAAGAGAGCACTTATTTTTGTCTTATCAAAGTGCTTCCAGAGCTTCCAAGTGCTTTGTAAACACTCCTATAGATTAAATATACAGGAACACTTTGTAAACACTTCTATAAATCAAATGTACAGGAGCACTTTCATTAAAGTGCT